GTAAACTTTACTTCTTGACTAAATTTGGGAAGATCAGGGATTCTCTAGAGGGGGTACTCCCAGATTTCAGGAAATTGTTTTACTGGTTTGAGCCATAAAGTTAGCTCATGCTGGTACCAAGCACCGACAGGAGATTTGTCCAAGGTCAGGGGCATAATCGTAAAGGTCAGAATCCCTTTACGGTTACCAAAATGTGAACTCCCAAAATTTGAGATGGGTCTCAGTTAATTTTTTGTATGTGTGGGTTTTTTTGGTGTGTGTTTTTGTCAGTTAATTTAGAAAGTCTATTTTGTCAAGGTTGAGGATGTGCATCCGTGATACACTCTCAGGAGGTTCTGATGACATATGCCCAAGGTGGTAGAGGCACAGTGTGTTTTTGCGTATTATAGGGAGACATAAGACATCAATCAATATGTGTAAGATGCACATTGGTTCAGTCTGGAAAGGTAGGACAACTCGAGGCAAAGGTGGGACAACTCAAAGTGGGGAGGAGGCTCCCAGGTCATAGGTAGGTAAGAGACAAATGGTCGTATTCTGTTGAGTTTCTGATTAGCTTCTCCAAATGAGGCAATCAGATATGTATGTATCTCAGTAGAAAGGTGACTTTGAATAGAATGGGAGGCAGGTTTGTCCTAAGCAGTTCCCAGTTTTACTTTTCCCTTTAGTTTAGTGATTTAGGGTCCTAAGATTTATTTTCCTTTTACAGTTCAATAGCTTGTTTCATCAAATGCCAGTTGTTGTCCCTTTAGGTGGTTTATGGGTTTTTTAAATTCATCATTCAACTTGAAGGTCACTTGTGTTCCACTTGTACATAAATTCATAGAAACCAGGAGTACTAGGTTTTGGGTCAGACCACAACTGTTCACTGTGGGAAGCCTTTACTTCTGTCTCACCTCTGTGCCCTTTCTCCCCTAGACCCACCCTGACTTCAGCGGGAGCTCCTGGGTCTTGTATGCACTGGGTACTCTGAATGCTGGGCAACTGGAATGGGTTAGCCTGGAGGCATTTAGACTGTCCTTCTACAACCACAGAAGAGCCATCACTGGCAGAGAGATCCTTGGCGCAGTTAAGCAGAGATCCTTTCAGAAGAGCTTTTGAATAAATGAAGTTGTTCTGAATGGCCTTGTTAAAATGACTGCATTTGTCGGAAAATTGGATGTGTTAGAAGGCTGGCTTAGAAGACAGGGTGTCTGAGAAGCCGTCCTGCTGCACGAGGAGTTTCACTGCTGCACACCTAGTCTCTGGGGCCTGTGTTTTTGACCTCTGACTTACTTCATGAAAAGAATAAAGGCATTTTCTCTTATGCAAGCTGTGTGTGCACGTGTGCATGTGCTTGTTGTCAATGGCCTTTAATTTCTTATGCATACTACTCCCCTGTTTTGCACTTACCCATTATATTCTTTGGAGGACACAGCTAGATCTGTGACATTGTATATCCATCGTCTGTCCTCACTCCAGATTGAGGGTGGAGACTGCTGCACTAGAATGAACTGAGATCATAAAGGATTGAGGGCAAGGTGAGGGGCACAGATGTGGGGATATTAATCCAGGGAGAGGGGAGCTTGAAAGTAGACAGTATTGCCCAAACTTGCAGGTTAACGAGGACTGCTGCCAGCTTCTGGCTTTGTCCTTATCCACCTGTGCTTGCTTCTCCAATCCCCGCCCCCCAACCTTTGCTTTGCCCTAATCTTCCCTTTACCTGGCTTGTGTAGATTGCTATGGCTCTTGACAGTGTTGAGACATTGTTTAGACTCCTATGAGGAAAGGTGATTTTTAAAGCTTAAGCACCTCTGCCATGATTTATAGATACTGAAGCAAAAGGTATCTGCTTGCTCTTTGAGTATAAGAATTGTGGCTTTGGTTATCTGTAGAGCACTTTTATATAATAACCTGTGCAATAAGTGTACAAGCGTCAAATGTATAATCTGGTCCCAACTGTGGAAAAAAGACAATTATAATAGGTTTATAAAATCAATGGGAGGCAGGTTTGTCCTAAGCAGGTCCCAGTTGGACTTTTCCCTTTAGTTTAGTGATTTTGGGGTCCCAATATTTATGTTCCTTTCACGGTACAATAGTCTGTTTCATCAAATGCCTGTCGTTGTTCCTTTAGGTGGTTTATGGTTGTTTTTTTTTAAATTCATCATTCAACTTGAAGGTTGCTTATGTTCCACTTGTACACAAATTCATAGAAACCATGAGTACTGGGTGTTGGATCAGACCACAGCTCTTCACTGTGGGAAGTGATGGTGGCTCATACCTGTAATCCCAGCACTTTGGGAGGCAGAGGAGGACAGAGGTGGACTCACTTGAGCCCAGGAGTTGGAAACCAGTCTGAGCAATATGCTGAAACCTCATCTCTATTAAAAATACAATAATTAACTGGGTGTGGTGGCACGTGCCTGTAGTCCCAGCTACTTGGGATTCTGAGGCAGTAGAATTGCTTGAGCCCAGGAAGCAGAGGTTGCAGCAAACTGAGATTGTACCATTGCACTCCAGCCTCAGCCACAGGGTGAAACCCTATTAAAAAAACAAAAAACAAAAACCACAGTAAGGAGCAGAAAGGATAAAAGGGATGATGGGATGACATGGTCTAGATGGGGGTTGGGGGGAGGCGGGGAGCCTGGGAAAGCCTGGGTAGGTGACATGAAGGAGAAGGTCCTAAGAATGGGAAAGGGTTCTGGGCTAAGGAAACAGGCTGAGCAAAGGCCCTGAGGCAGGCAGGACAGTTCTTGGATTATTGGGGAAATTAAATGAAGCTGGGACAGCTGGGCTCTAGCAAGCAAGGAAGAAATACAATAGGAGATGAAGCTGGAGGGAAAAACTGGGGCCAAGTGATGCAGGGCTTGGTTTTTACCCTAAGGTCAGAGGGACACCCCTGAAGAATTTTAACTAGAGAATTGGCATTTTTTAAAAACCATCAGATCTTTGAGGCTTGTAAAAAAGAAAGAAAGAAAAAAAGAGAATTGGCATTTTACTTAGGTGTTTTGTTCTCAGACAGGGTCTTTCTAGACTGGTGTCCACAATCCCGGTGGAAATGTGAGGATATTTATGTCCATTGGGTAACATGGAGGTCATGGTGACCTTGAGAAATCAACTCAGTGGAGCACTCTGGGCATCAGCCAGATTTGAGCAGGTGGAAGAATGAATGGGAGGTAGTTAACAGAGAGAGCATTTTTAAAAATGGTGTTGAGATGAAAGGTGAAATCTAGTTTGGAAAGAGAAGAGGGACTCAGGCTGGTAACTGGAGAGTCATTTGGTATAAAGAGATTTTTTTTTTTTTAAGATGAGGGATACTAGAGCTTAATTGTTTATTGGTGGGAATTCTCTAGGATAGAGGGTGATATTAATCCAGAAGAAAGTAGAGAAAGCCAAAGACCTCGAGAAAGTAAGGGGAGATGAATTACAGAGTAGAGGTGAAAGAGGAGAAGATATATACACATTTTGGTGGGGTTAGGTGATGAAAAGAGGGAGTTAGTATCTCTTTCTGAATGGAACAAGTACAAGCAGAACAGGGGCATGGGAGGTTTGAAGATTCCATATGAAGTTGTTTGAGGGAGTGAGAGGGTGAGAGCTGGACACTTATGCACAGATGGGTGACCGGGAATAAGCGCCTGTTTGAGATTTGTGATCATGAATCAAAAGCAAAGTCGGCCTTGGGTGACTTTCCCTAACTACATGCTCCAGTGCCAGCACGGAGAACACAGCGTTTGCGTTCTGCCAAGGGAGCTATGAAGGAGAGAAGAGCAAGAGAGCAACTCTGCGGCGGCCTATGTGATCCAGGCCAAGTGGTAGGACAAGGGGGTGAGAGGAGTGTGAATGTCATGGAGCTCAAGGGAAGCACAGGAGATATCAGGCCTGTAAACAAGAGTCTCCAAGAAGGAATTTTTCTCTCCCCAGCAACCTTCGTCATTAGCTCACAGACGAGGGCACTTGCTTAAGAAGCAGTGGTGACACCTAGTGGCCACTCTTTGAAGTGCACTTTCTTGGTTTTAGGTTGTCAGCAGATCTGGAAGTGCGTGTTAGGTTCCGCGTGGGAGGCACCACAGCCCTCACCATTCTCTCCACGGTTCTCTCTCTGTAGGACTCTGTCCCATTGATCCTGGGGATTTCAAGAGGATGGAGAGGTACTGCTTAGGGGGGTAACTAGAAGTGGACTGAAGGTAATCTGGGGGCAGTTAGCTGCAGACCCCAGACCTGGGCTTCTCCGCTAGGTTCCTGCTGTCCTGAGACAGATCCTGAATCCTGTGATGGCTCTGGGTATTCTAAAGCCCTGCTTGGGGTTAGAATAAGTAGTGACATAAGCCTCTTCCAGCCCACAGTTGTCCTGGGGAAATGCCATCGTGGCTGACCCAGAACTGTGTGAGGACTTTCTTCTTAGCACCACCTCCTGAAAGTTGACTGTCCCTGGAGTTCTAAGAGGGTCCCACTGTCTCTGGCTCCACTTGACCCAAGCACTGGGATCTGGCTTAGTCTAGAGGGAAATGCAGATTCCTCCCCAAGTCCCCCCCTTTTTTTTTCAACTGCATCTAAAATTTTTGTGAATTTTACTTTAATTCAGTTCAGGATAGTTGTAATTTCCAGTGTAATTTAATATTTGATCAGGATTTATTTAAAAGGGTTAATTTCCATGGATTTAAAGGATTCATGGATTTCTTCCCATTACTGATTTCTAACTTAACTCTGTTGCCATTAGAGAATGGGATGTATATTATTTCAATTTTAATATTAATGAGTTTTGTCTATGACCCCATATATCTACTCTGACAAATACTCAGTGTACACTTGAATGTGAGTGTTTAGTTGTTGGGTTAAACTGAATACATAGACATATATATGTGTACATATATATATATAAAACTTTACTGTATTCAAATAAGTTCTTATCATTTGAAAAATCAATTACTCTGTTGGCTCACATTCAAATTATTATTTAGTTCACAACTTCCATAACACATACTGCATTGATCTTGCAGAAAATAGAAAATATTGACAAATGAATCTGAAATTTCAAAATATTTATTGAACAAAAGAATAAACACAAGCCCCAAAGAAAATATGACAAACGTTATACATAAAATATAGTTTTCCCCTAATTAATATAATTGCTTTCTGTTCGTGGTTTACAAAGTGACTGACGTTTCCCTTCCATCCCTTGGTACCTATGTGTATCTAGCAGAAATGTTCTTAGCTCTGGCTACGGGCACACAGAAACTTGCTATCGATGATTATGTTCAAATGTTTATTTGCTTTCCTCAGAATAAACTGGGGGACTGGCACTGTCTGGATTGATCACAGGAAAGATACTCAGGAAGCTCTGATCATCTTGAGTTTCACGTTTATGAGAAAAAAATGGACACAGTGGCTCGATAACAGGAATGTCATTGAATGTGTAGATATGGCACCCATCACTAACATTATAAAAGGAAATTGACCTCATACCTACCTCCAGGTAAATCCCCACTCTGTGCAACTGGGGACTCACCCAGAGAAAAGTCAAAGGCATAGTGCTGGCGGCAAAGATCTGTCCTTTTCTGGAACCCACAGTCCAGAAGCCAACTTCTGAAGAAAGTACAACATCCCCCTGTCAATTCACAGATTCCTTACAAATGCCCACATCCCATATTTTGCTGGTGCCCACATCTACTTCCCAGTAGTGGTGGCCGGAAGTGAAGTGAGAGGTCCTCAGAACGCACAGTGCGGAGCTGAACCTTTCAGCCTGCTCTTTCCTGTTCTGTCTGAAATCCCCACATTGGATGCTCTTCGGGTCTTCAGAAATGGTAAGCTAGTTGCTGGCTATGTCCACATCCAAGATCATATCCACTTGAAACTTCTTCATCCTTGGGTTCATCCTTAGAATAGATTTCAGCTTGGGCTCTAGTTCCTTGATGATGGAAATCAGTGCCCTCAGCTTGTACTTGGGCTTGATGTCATTCTTCTGAGAGGCCACAATGTGTAAGGGGCATAGTACACTTTTCCCATGGGGCTCCTTCTGCAGAGAATTGACGAATTGGAGGCAGCAGGCATATCCACATTTCAGTTGCACCAGTTCTTCAAGATCATTTAGACAGACAGGACATCTAATTACTTGTCTGAAGTGTTCAGCCATGGCAAAGGTCTTTCCTTCCCGAGATTCCTCCCCTGGCCTCCAGCTGCTTCTGCTGACAGCTCAGATCTCTCTCTCTCTTTTTTTAACTGTTTATACTGGTTTAATCCATGTCAAATGTAGTTTACAAAGGAAAAGGACAAGTACCTTTGTATAGAATATACAGACACAGCATCATACCATAGGGCCCACGGGAGGGTCGGGGAGACACTTTTTTCCCTGGGAAGGGCAGCTCTAATCCCAGGAATGGTTCTCAGCAGAGGCTGGGAGGCCAGGAGCACTGTCCTCCAGTCCCCCATCTCAGCCTCTGCTTCAGCTTGGTTCCCGTTTCCTGCCTCTAACCCTCAACTCCTTATAAAGAGCCCCATGAGCTAAGACTAAGGACAGGTTCATGTCCCTTGGGGCATGTGCCCCATGTCTGGGAGAAGAAATATATACCACTGAATACCAAGCACATGGGAGAGGGAAGGGACACCACAGGAGAGGGAGAGGCAGGTATCCCAGAGGTGGATGAGCCGAGCCCCCAGCCAACCCTGAAGGAGGCACTGCTTCCAGGGGTTCTTAAAAAAAGAAGGAACTCATACAACCAAAGAGGGAGGGGATAGGTAAGGGCTGGGAGTTGTCCCATTTATACACAACATTATAAACATACACGGTCTATATTACATGTGCTTCAGTCTGGTGTCTGCATGTCTGTCTGTCCATCTGTCAGTCTGGGGGCTGGATCTCAGGAGCTGTGCCCCACTACTCCCCCACCCCCACCTCCCTTCCCCACTCTGGGAACAGAGCTGGAACAGGTATGGCCCCCAAACCATAGGTGGGAGCCAGCAGGTAGTGCCTGGGCCACAGCCTCTACTTTGGCTCCAGAGTCCTCTGTGTATAAATGTGTATGTATGTGTGTGTGAGTATGTGTATGTATGTACATGGGGAACCTGTGTGCAAGTATGTACAAAGGGAGAGGGTCACTGTCACAGAGGCTGGGGGCAGGTGGGGTTGCTGGAAGCAGAGGTGCTAGAGTCATCAGAGGTAGTAGGCATGACTTCTGGGCCAAGCAGTTGGGTGTCCCTTAGTTAGAGCCTATAGGGAAATACAAAGAGGACCAAGACAGGACAGGACTGTGCCTTTGAGCAACCTAAGGCACTTTTGCTGTTCTGATCAATTACCCTGTACCAGGACATGCTGTTTCCCTTCCACTTTAAGAGGCAGGTTTGGGTTCAAACACAAGAGGGTCACTGAGACATGAAACATGGCATGGGGTAGGTGAGAGAGGTGGTTTCTAAGGTGGTCAAGAAATGGAGGAAAACAGATTCTGACTCACCTCTATCCCTCTTCCCCATCTCTTATCTCACACTCCCCAGTTTGAACATGACTTTGTTCTTAGGGGCAGCCTGGTGTCATGGAAGGATCCTGTGCTGAAGTTACAGTCGGGTAATCCCTTGGCCACATCTGCTTCCACATCTGTAAAATGGTGATGTAATGCACATGGTTGTGAAAAATTAAACAATGTACATTTGATAGTCTTAAACCAACACAATGCTTTGGCTTAAGGCATTATTATTAGGTATTTATACCAAGGTAGATTTCACAAACATTAAGAAAAAAGCTTTATGGCAATGAAATTTCATTAGAAGTCTACCAGGCCCTGGGGGAACCCATCAGAGGCAAAGTGACTTGATGCTCTTTCCAAGACTGAGAACACAGAAAGAGAACACAGAAAGCAGAAGATCCATGCTTGGGGTCAGGCAGACTTAGCTTCTTATCTCATATTTGCCAGTTGCTAGTTGTGACATCTCAGACAAGTTCCTATACCTCCTAGATACTCAGTGTACCGCTGTATAAAGTGGACATAATTCTTCCTTCCCTGACTTGTTGAGATAATTAAATGAGGTGTCCCCTGTAAAGCACCTTGAACAGAGTATGCACTCAGTGAATGGTATCATGAAAATGTGTTACTTCAGGTCATCCCAAACTAAATATTTTGGGCCTATATTATGGGCCAGGCACCAGGCTAGGTGGTGGGTGATGTTGTCTATAGCACAGCTTTTCAGATAGACAGTTCTAGTTCAAATCCTAGGTTTACCACTTGCCAGCTGTAGAAATGTATTTAACTTCTTTGAGCCCTAAGTTTCCTCCTATGTAAAGTGAGGGAGAATAATATCTATTTTGAGAGATAATTGTAATAATTATGTAATCTATGTAAAGTACCTAGCACAGTACCTGGCATGAACAAAACCTCAAAAATGGCAGTGGTTATAATTAATATGATCATGCTGAGAGTTAAAAGGAAGAGATGATGATGGATCAGATTTAAAGTCAGACACCCAAATGACTTTACTCATAGCATTAAACCCATCCTTGAACCTAGCTTGTCTGTATTAACTAAAATATGGATTTAATTCCTTGTACGCACATCTACACATCACTCCCAAAATACTTAAAGCAAGAGATTTCTATTGGCTGTAAAGAGGGACATGGTAAAATATGGGAATGGGCAAGAGAGGAGACAGCTTTAGAGCTTTTCAAGGAAGTCTTTTGAAGATTTTAAGTGTTTTTGCCAAGAGTACATCCTCCTCACACCCAGCGTCAACTACCAGATCCACACGTCGTATGCGCAGGCTTTTTCCTCTAGGGAAACCCTTGCTCAGGGTTTCGATGTCCCCTGGCCCAGCTGCCTTAGCTTAGAGTAAAAGCAGACTTACCCTGTGTTCCCAGTGGCTCAGAACTGCCCTGCTAACTCTCTACCCTCCTCCACCCTTTTTCTTTCTCCTTGCTTCCTGGTCCCGCCCCCTCCATCCAGCCAGACCCACAGCAGTCTGAGTGTTTGCTTACTTCCACTCCTCCAAGGAGGACGGGCTTTTGCTATGGTCTCTGTCCACACCCATAGCTCAGAGAAAGCCTGATCAGTGTGTACACAAATCCTTTCTTGGCTGGTGGCCCTTTCCATGGAAAGCCATTTACTAGTCCATAAAAGGGCCTGAACACTTAAAACAAACATGGACTCAGTCAAACCAGAAATTTAAAATTGCGGCACCTTAATTCAGGCCAACCTTCATTCTCTTTCCAATGCTGGTGCCTTACCCTGTCTGAGTGTTTCCCATGTGCTTAACCCTCCTGCCTCCCAATAGCTGCCACACCCTAGTGGGCCTCTTGGTGCTAGGTGTGGGTTGAGAGTTCGCATCCCCAATGAAGCATGACAGTAATAGCTAAGCTTTATTTTCACTCCATACACAAGTGCTTACTGAGCACTAAGCTCCAGGCACTGATCTACATATTGGGGGTCAGCAGAGAACAAGGCAATAAAATCTCTGCCCTTATGGAGCTTATATTCTGAAAGGGAAGAAGTAATAAATAGATCATGCAGTGTCAGGTAGTGATACATGCCGTTCAGAAACCCAAATCAAGCAGGACATGGTGGCTCATGTGCTGTTCTAAGCAGGGTTGGAGCTGATTAATGTGTTGCTCTCCTTTGGTGCTGTTTGGTCCCAGTGTTCTTTGGAATCTGGAGAGATTTGGACTTTAAAAAATCAAACTGCCATGAAAACTATTTTACCCGAAATTTTGGTTCATGGCCTTCATTGGATTACCTATTGGGGCAAACAAAGTAAAACTGGTGAGCTTGGACTGCTGTCTCATGGCTGGGGTTCCAAGGTAAAAACGATGGGATCTTTGTTTCCGTGTGTGTAAACATGCCCAGATGTGTTTCTTTGTATGTACACTTGTTATATATTGTGTCTACCAAACTGGCTTATAAGTAAAAGAGTGCTCATAAATTAAGTAAGTAAGTCTAAGTAGTTTTCAAGTACATGTGACTTAAGTGTTAAGTTTACTAAACAAGCTGCTTTTAAAATTATTGGTAAAATAAAAATAGGCCTTCAGAATTGTCAGCATACATTTTTGTCTGGATTTTATATTTGTCTCTGCTAGATATTTTGAGGTGTCAGCGTTTGGCATAGAAGGTTATAAAACTATAAACCCAGCCAAAACAAAATGATCTTGGTTTGTGTGCCCACTCCCCCATTTTTTTAACAAACATGAGTAATTTAATGTTGTCAGCTAAATCTTGTGACTTATTAGCAAAAATATATACATATTTAACTTTGAGGCTCTTACTTAGGTTTAGGTGAGTACCTAATGTTCACTGGCTATTAAAAATGTGGTTAACAAGGAAATAACTAACTTTAAATGATAATGTCTGTGAAAGAATTGAGTACGTGTAAATGGGATAAATGTTTTATGTAAACTTTTTGTGTAAATAAAATCTTAAAATTATTTTTGATTCTCATTGAATATGTGGGTCATGTCCAATTAAGAAAAGGTTGTGATATGGGGAAATGTGTTTTTAAAAATTGTGGAATTTCTTATCTATAATAGCCCGTATTTGATAGTTCAGGATCTCTTGCTTGCACAGGATATATGGTGATATTGGTGAACTTAAGGATACCGAATTGTGCATCGGGAATAATGTATTCATTATGTGGGTGTTTTCGGGGAGCCCTGGGTAACACTGCTGCCTCCAGCGTAGATTGAGTAGAAAAATTTAGAGTTGGCTTCCTGTTTGTTTTTGCTTCTAATTTTCATTTGTTTGCTGTTTACACTGTTTTGGGTTTTGCTTATGTATGCATATATATAAAACCATGAAGTTTTTAGTTTCTAGTGGAAGTTTTTTATTTGGTTCCATGAATAGTTATTTTGTTTCTTATGCATTTCTAGCAAGTCGTCATTTGTTCCATTTGTCTGGAATTTCTAGTCTCCCTTTGTGGGGTTCACAGGAATTGCTGAAGCACACCAGCTTCTTAACCTTAAACGAACTTTTTGGATATTAGGCTTCCTAATACTTTAAGTGTATTGAGTATATTTTCAAGTCATATTTTTCTCTCTCTACCTAATTTCTCCAGACTTTGTAAACTATTCATGAATGTTTTTTTTCTTGAGACGGAGGCTTGCTCTGTTATCTAGGCTGGAGTGCAGTGGCGTGATCTTGGCTTGCTGCAACCTCTGCCTCCTGGGTTCAAGCGATTCTTGTGCCTCAGCCTCCCAAGTAGCTGGGATTATAGGTGTCCACCACCATGCCTGGCTAATTTTTGTATTTTTAATTGAGGCAGGGTTTAACCATGATGGCCGGGCTGGTCTCGAACTCCTGACCTCAGGTGATCCATCCACTTTGGCCTCCCAAAGTGCTGGGATTACAGGTGTGAGCCACTGTGTCCGGTCTGTAAATATGCTTAATTCATGGCAATGTTTGTGTTTGCATATAGTTGAGCCAGGGTCACTAGGACTGCTCAGGAAGAGAGAACCCAGAAACCTGACACGCTGGCAAAAGGGTAAGAATTTCTTACCTGTTGGACCTCTGGACTCTCTCTCTCTGTGCACACCGGTTGAATGAATAGTAAAAGATTATAAGAAGGCATGGGAATATAAATTTTTGTAAACCTTTAACATAATAGGCTTCCCAAAATTACATTTCAACTTACATGTTTAGCTACATGGGAAGCACTGTCAAAATAAAAAAATGTTTAATTTTTTGTGGGTTATACGTCAGTGAATATTAATATATGTTACAAAATTGTATGGGATTTCTAAAATTCTAAATATGTCTGAGTATATGCTATCAATCATAATTATGTTTATTATGTTAAGTTACTGTAACCACAGAAATAACCAAATTTCCTTGTATAAAAGTGCTAACCCAAGTAGAATAAACATTGAGTACCAAGAAAATACTTTGGCAGATTTGCACGCTAAATCAGCTGATACTAAAATTGTTTAGATACACTATTTGAATGAACTCCATGGTCTAAGTCAAATTACCTATGATAACCCATCAGTTGTCAGTGCTGTGTACCTAAATTGGAGAAACAACTGGTATTCAAGAGGACATAAGTCCAACAGTAAGCATGGACTCATAGAGAACCAGGACGGCAAGCTTGCCCTTCCTGAGTTCTTAACGCTTTTATTATTAAAGGTTATGCATTCCGTGACTCATCACAGACAAGATAAAATGATCCAAATTAAATATATATTGGTGTGTTGACTTATACATCGCTAAAGTAGTTTATAACCAACGTTTTGTTTGTCAAATCCATATTCCTGGGAAGACAATCAAAGCTTCAGGTACATTTGGTTACCTCATGGGCCATTAATCATTTCAATTGTCATTTTCAATGCATGCTTTCTGGTTGTACAAAAGCTTTCCTATGTAAGAGGGCTGATGTTATAACAGTAGATTACTATGCTACAGTGTATTTTCACCAGGTAAAGAAAGCTTTTTATGGTTCACTGAGGACAATCAACCCCTTCGCAATCTAGAACCCAAAGATTGGATCTTATGAGAACATCTACTGTAAAATTATAGTTACGCAACAGACTTTAAATCCTATTGTGAAAGTTATGATAGAATTGGCTGAACAGAGAACTATCTGTGCAGCTGCTGACACTTGTGGCCTATGGAGAAATACATCAAATGAAGATTATAGAGATTTGTTGTAGGGGATTAACAGAGAGAGATTTCTTAGTTAAGTCAGTATATTCTTTAGCACATTCTTTGATCTATTTAATTTTAGGTAGTTTGGTTTATGGGGACCCTGGGTACAAAGTATGCTCCAAACTCTTGGTATTTGCTCCCAATAGTCATAATAATAATCTCCTTGTTGCGCTATATTCTCTCAAAAGCTTTACATGCTTGGATGCAGCTGTCTCTAGAATGTCAAATGGTCTCTCTTCAACTGGAATGACAAGAGCTGAAAGAAATGTGCGACCATGAGGATACCATAACCTATGAATGACGTGGTGAGACTGGAAACCCAAAATGATGGTAAATGAGAGTGGTACTAAACGTTGGTCACACTCTCACCCAAGTGAGAACCTGAACAAAAAGGGAGAATTTTTTTAAACAAAATTATGAGAGGCCAGTGTTTTGAACTGAGCTCATGCGCTAGGCCCCAACAAACCAAACCAAACCAAAACGTAGTTGCTTATTCTAAGACTTTAGGGAAACACATAGATCCTAAGAGAGACCAGGTTTTGTTTGTCTCCTGCAAACAGGATGTTCCACCATCAGGAGGTACCCCCTACTCAGTCCTCGTTCCCACCTTACAAAACCCACTGTTGTTTCACTGTTTCTCAGTGCGTTTCAAGACCAAATAAGTACCTTTATGATGGTGATAGTGACGTCAGTGATTAAAGTTTTGGTCAATTTCTCAAAAGAGGGAAATTGTTAAAACGAATTAAATATGGCTTGAGAAGGACTCCATACTAGTCTCCACTAGACAGAGTAGGGTGAGAGTTCCATGATCTCGTCCAACTATTGCAGTCCTTGTGGACGAACTATAACCCAACTTAGGAATATGTGCCTGTAAAAATAGCTGAGTCTTGGCCAATCCCAGCAACCCCAAATCAGGCCAGGAGATAAGGTACTTGTTAAAACATGGAAGGAGAGATCACCTGCTTTGGATGATAGTGGCCATTTTTATATTGCCTCCTTCCAAACTTATGGAATCACTTCCTTTGTAGTAATTAAGCACAATCTTTCAGTTAATCTCTACAACAAACATTGCTGACAGGATAGGTATCCACCCCCTGAGGTTCCTGTTAAATCTTTTAAACAAATTCATTTCCTCTCACACAGAGACCATCAAGCTTCAGAAGATCATGTGACAAGGTTTTCAGTCAGTTCTAGGTGAAGACACCACCCCTGGCCATCAACACGCCACCCTGTCTCCACCAGACAGAGTACGGTGAGAGTTCCATGATCTCTAATAGGTAGGGACTATGCCCCAAGTTGGCATGAAGCTGTTACAGTTCCTCATGTCTCTTAGCGGGAGATGAGGCAGGAAAATAGGGTCTGGAGGAAGGGAACCTAAGGGTTCACCCTGACTTCCTACAACCAAATCAAAAGGAGAACCCCCAGCTTTCCACACCTAAGTAACAGAACCAGACACTACTCCCTTCGCAACCCCAACTCCCCACTTTCTGCTTGGCAGATGGAAAATTGAAAGTACCTTTGATTGGCTTTCTGCAACCAATCAGACATTTGCATAGGAGTGTAACTTTGCAACTTCACTTCAGCCTCTGACTGGTTGTGGAAAACAACCAGTCAGACTGATTGTGGGGCCAAGTCTTCTTTTGCATAGGAGTGCAACTTTGTAACTTCACTCTAGCCTCTGACTGCTTGTTTTCTGCATAGGAGTGTAACCTTTGTAACTTCACTTCAGCCTCTGGTTGCTTTCCATGACCAATCGGACTGATTATGGGCCATCACTTCATTTACATGGGGTGAACACCAAGGGGCCTATGGGAAACTCTAGCCAGTATTTGATTCTGCAGATACCCAGAAGATTCTGCAACAGGGGCTTTTGAACCCCTGTGCTCAGGCCTGCTCCCAAACTGTGGAATGTACTTTCGTTTTCAATAAATACCTGCTTTTATTGCTTCATTCTTTTCTTATTTTGTTTTGTCTTAATTTTTTGTTCAAAATGACAAGAACCTGGACACTCTCAACGCGTAATAAGCCAAGATTGTGCCACAGCACTCCATCCTGGGCAAGAATGAGACCGTCTCAAATAAAACAAAATAAAACAAAAATATGAACCAAAAAAAATCACCTCTGTGGGCTGGATGTGGCCTTGGTGGTACCAGTTTGCCGACCCTGTGTCAAGCCGCCTGGGACTTTGGTACCTGTCACCGATACTGACCTTAGACCTGGACCACTGGGATCCTGCCCTGCACCCTATGCTTTAGTTGGCCCACTCCAGCTGTTCCCTTCTAGATCAAGCTCCTGGTACTCAGGACTCTGGAAATCCTTGTGCTAACAGACCTGAGCCTGCTTCCAAGGTCTGACTTCTATCCACCCGGGGCAGCCTGCACTGCCCGGCCTGAGCATCTTTAGAATGAAGGATGGCAGGGTAAGGGGTGTGTGTTTTCCTGAATGCGTGGGAGTCCCCCTTCAGTATGTGTGGAATGGGGTCGTGTGAGAATAAAAGCAGCCAGACTACCAGCAAGGGCCCTGCATTTGTACTCTCGCCCCTGGCTAGGCAGTTGTCAGGGGTGGGCCTGTTTGTCACCGCCCCGTGGATCAGGCTGTAAATAAGAGCGACTCCCAATTCACTCCTTACCCTGGGCCAGGCAGTCTGATGCCCATCACTCGACCCTACTACTAACTGAGAGCAGCCCCGTTTTACAGAGGGAGGCACAGAGGCTGAAATAAGTGGCCCACAGCTAGTGAGTGGCAGAGGCAGGGTTTCAATGGGACCGTCCGTGGCGGAGCAGACTGGCTCCGGGGGCCGACCCCCCTGCGGAACCCGTCGGCTCTCCCCGCCTGGGACGGCCAGCCCGGGGCGGGGCGCAGGCAGGGACCCTCCGCGCCCCCCTCTGTCTGCCGCCCGGGCGGGCCTCCGCGGGGGCGCGAGGAAGGGGTGTCGGGTCGCCAGGGACCGCCTCCCAGCTGCCCCGGCGCCCGCGTCCCGGCCCTGGCCGCCTGGGGGCCTGGCGGTGACGGCGGCGCCTGGCGGCGGGGATTTGGCTCGGGCCGGGGGCCCGGGCGAGGGGGCGTGGGGGCGCGGGGCTGGATTCCTCGGGCCGGGCGCTTCCCGGCATGCCCCGCTGCAGGCCCGCGCCCGCCCCGGACTTTGCCATCGGCGGGGCCGTCGCGGGAGCGCAGCGGGATGCGCCCCGGAGCCGCAGCTTGAGGTGGGTGAGCCCCGCCGGGTGGCACGGGGGCTCGGGCTGGCCGCAGCGAGTCGGGGCGGGGGCGCGGGACTCAGCCCGGCCGCCTTGGGGAGGGGAGGCCGGCGCCGCAGCTTTGTTCCCGCCGCGGGACCGCGCGCCCGAAGTTGGGGAAAAGAGTCGGGGCCGCGCCCAGGAGCGCTCCGGGCAGGCTGGGGGTCTCTCCGTCCTTCCCGGGGACGGAGTGGGCGTCCTGAGTGGACGGGCACGGGGAAGCGGGCAGGGTCTTGCGTCTGTTCTGTCCTTGTGGTCCAGAACCAGAGGGGAAGGGGGAAAGTAAGGGAGAAAGAGATCGAGAGAAACAGGAAAACTCGCCCAGCAGCACGCAGGGAAGAATACAGGGAAAGAAAAACACAAAGAAACGCCACACACACACACACACACACACACACACACACTGCAGAGAAGGACTGCGAACACACACTCCGAGGAACATTCAGCTCACACACAGGCAGAAGCTCACTCGAGAGAAACATCAGGTCACACACACCCAGAAACACACTCCGAAAACAGCTCACACACACTCAAACACTGAGCTCACACACACAAGCGCATGCAGAAAAACAGCTCACACTCAGAAACACACTCCAAGAAACACTCAGCTCACATACACAGAAACACGCTCAGAAAAACAGCTCATGCACACTCAGAAACAAACATACTCGGAGAAACACACTCAGCTCACACTTTGCTTACACACACCCAGAGAAACACACTCAGGAAACACTCAGAACGCACAGGAAGAGAGGAAACTGTGTGGTCTTGGAAGCCTGGGACAAGGGGAGGAGGAGAGACACTGAGAAGGGGGAGAAGAAGGGAGAGATGAGTAGAGAGAGAAACAGAGATAAAGGCAGACTAAGAGGAGACAGAAAGCACAAAGGCCTCAACTGAGGTGGATAAAAGGACTGATAGAGAAGCACATATCTAGAGAAACAGAGGCAGACCCTGATAATTGCCCCTCTCCCCCACCCTATCCCTCACAAAATCAGAGATACACACAGATGAATGAGGCAGATGCCAGGCTTCTCACCCTTGCTGTCAAGTGACCTCGAGGTGAGACAGCAGTTCTGTGAGACCTTTGAGAAAGGCCTCCTTGGCACTTTAAGCCAGGCATGTCCCAACCTTGTCTAGCTGGCAAACTCCTGCTCATCCTTCAAAACCCATCTCAGGCATCACCACTGCTGTGAAGAAGGCTTTCCCAGAAAGCATCATGCAAACCCAGTTACTCTCCTTTCTGTGTTCTTCCTCAGGAAGCACAGCCATGTGGAATTGAAGTGATTTGTCACCTATCTGCCTCTCCCACCAGCTCCTTAAGATCAGGGTCTCTGTCTTATTTATCTCCAGTCTCCAGTGCATGATACATAAAAAGTGATCAAGAAATACTTAGTGAATAGTGACTGAGAGCATTTGGACCCTCAAGACATGGAGGATAGAATTAAGTGCAAATAGAGGAAATGCACCATCCTGGTATTGTGAGGACTCCTAAGTCAGAGTGCCCTTTTTTCATGTAGGGAAATTAAAGCCCAGAGAGGGGAGAATGCTTGCACAGAGGCCAGCAGGAGGCCTGCAATGAAATAACAGTGACTATGTACTTCTGTGAGATGCCCTGGGCACCTGGCTTATGAGTTTAAAATAGGTGTGAAAGCCCCCTGTTCTCCAGTTTCTCTCTCCAGAGGCAGCTGCTGTTATCAAGTTACATTTTATGTTTGTTTGTGCATATCCATGCGTTTATACCAAAAAAATTTATTCTGTGCACACACTAGTATATACAAATGCACAGATTTCTTTCATTCTTCTTTTGTACACAAATAAAAGAATTCTATGAGGAAAAGAAATAGATGTGAAAGAGTCTCCTGAGTGAAAACAGGCAAGAGGCAATGGACACTTTAATGCCATTTCTAAGTTTCCAACACTGAAACTGACAATTAGAACTCTTTTCAGGACCTTTACAGTCTTCTTTGTTCCTTGGAAAGGAAAAGTGTAATGAGTGTCCATCTCAGTCTAAGTGGATGGCTTTCCACCTCCTGACTGCATATTGGACAACTTCTGTAACCTCTCTGAACCTCAGTTTCCTCAACTGTAAAATGGGGTTACTAATGTCCACTTCATAGGATTGTTGGAAGAGTTAGCAAAGTACCTGGTAGAGTAGATCCTCAGTAAATACAGTTTCATCTTTCCTCCTCTTTAGTGGTATTCTTTTGTGCATGTTTTTATGGATGTGAAAACAACTGCTAGTTAAAATGTTTCCTTTTGCCTAGGGTCTAAAAAGCTGTCTTAAGGCTGGTTGCTCACACCTGTAATCCCAGCACTTTGGGAAGCTGAGGTGGGTGGATCACTTGAGGTCAGGAGTTTAAGACCAGCCTGGTCAACATGGTGAAACCTTGTCTCTACTAAAAATACAAAGAATTAGCCAGGTGTGGTGGTGTGTGCCTGTAATCCCAGCTACTTGGGAGGCTGAGACGGGAGTATCGCTTGAACCCAGGAGGCAGAGGTTGCTGTGAGCCGAGATCATGCCGTTGGCAGCCATTGCACTCCAGCCTAGACTGTCTCCAAAAAAAAAAAAAAATGCCATTCTAGTCCAACTGGGGAGCAAATTCTTCTGATAAAGGAAAAGGCAAATTGGGGCATGGCATAATATGTACCTCGGTTCTCTTCAGGCCCTCAGGTCCCTGCAGGTGTTGTGGAGGAACCTAGCTCCTGCCATCCTCTCCCCCAGTTTGCCACTTCCAGCAGGTAAGACTCACTTGTCCCACTGTTTTTCATGGCGTCTTTACCAGATCTGCTGACCTAATGTTCTCTCAAGCTTTAGCCCGTGAGGAGGATGTGAGCAGGACTGAGTCAGGAGCCCCCTGAAGCATGGAGACCGTGGTGATTGTTGCCATCGGTGTGCTGGCCACCATCTTTCTGGCTTCATTTGCAGCCTTGGTGCTGGTTTGCAGGCAGCGCTACTGCCGGCCCCGAGACCTGCTACAGCGCTATGATTCTAAGTGAGTGAGCCCATGAAGGGGATGGAGTAGGGGTGGGCTCGAACAAAACAAAAAGAGAGGAACTTGTAGTTCAGTGTTAGGCAACTGTAACTCAGCTTTTTGGTTCTAAAATGGCACCTGCAGGTGTCCCTCCCGATAAAGACCTCAGAGTTCGAGAATGTTCCTTAAGTCTCCCGACATCCTGAGTCACCTCCTTCTCTGCTTCCTGAGCCAAGAAGAAAGTTGTGGAATATGTTCACCTAGCATAAACACTCAGCCATCTGTTCCAAACTGGCCACCTCACTTAGCAGTTGGATAAGCCAAATCACTTTCCAACCAGACCCACAGGAACAGCAATCAGATGCCCACACTTTGGCCACACATCTAAGCAACAAACATTTGGTTTTGTGAAATCCCCACTTAGGACTGTCTCTCTCTTTGCACAGCAGATTTTTTTTTTTTTTTTCTTTTTTTTGAGATGAAGTTTCTCTCTTGTTGCCCAGGCTGGAGTGCAATGGTGCAGTCTTGGCTAACTGCAACCTCTGCCTCCAGGATTCAAGTGATTCTCCTGCCTCAGCCTCCCACGTAGCTGGGATTACAGGCATGTGCCACCATGCCCAGCTAATTTTTGTATTTTTAGTAGAGACGGAGTTTTACCATGTTGGCTAGGCTGGTCTTGAACTCCTGACCTCAGGTGATCCGCCTGCCTCGACCTCCCAAAGTGCTGGGATTACAAGCGTGAGCC